ACAGTGTCGCAGCCCCGGGGCTAGGAGGAGGCAGCCCGGGGGGGGGGGCAGGGGTGCTGGGTGGACAGGAGCCCATCGAGGCAGCGGCCGGGCGAGCTCCTGGGCTGCCCACCCCCAGGACAACGGCTCCTGACAGCACTTGCTGCACGCAGACCCGCACATATGCCCATGCTGTGCTCCGGGCCCCGAGAGCACGTGCCAGCACTGGGAGCCAGGACCCTGTGCCAGACAACTCGACCCACAGCCTCACTCCTGGGGCGACAGGATCCATGCGGCACGGTGCCCCGGCAAAGGCACGCAGCCTTGGGCAGGCGGTCTGGCTGCTCGTTAGAGAAAGGGCTCACCCCACCTCGTCAGGGTGGAGGTGACAGCTCACGGTGCCGGGACTGTGGGAAGGACCTGGGTCAGCACCCCAAGGACTCCTGGCACCCATGGGCACAGGCATGCTCAGGTGGGACCCGGTGCATGCTGTCTCAGAGGAAAGCGCGTGCAGAGGCGTGAAGCTGTGGGTGTGCGGCCTCAGCTCTGGCCACTGGGAGGAAGCTCAGCTGGCCTATGTCACCAGGGGCTGCTGTGACACGCCAGCCCCGCTGACTCCGGTCCCCTCACCTGTGTGCCCGGCAGTAGGCTGCAAGCACCGAGCGGCAGGTGACCGTGTCCAGCCCTGGGGACCTGGCCAGCACGGCTGGCTGCAGCCACCCAGGTAACCGCCTGCTGACGCTGGCTCTCCCCCTTGGTCCTGAAGGAGAGGCCTCTGCTCCCTCCAAGTCCCCACAGCACCCCAGTAGAGCCCCCAGTGCTCTGTCCCCCTCCCCACCTGGCCGACATCTGGGAAATGGGTGGGGCGTCCCCAGGGAGCTCTGGGCCCAGGACCCCAGGTGGGGGTCAGCAGTACCTCGTCCTTCCTCTGGCTGCCCCAGGGGCCGTCAGAAACTGTCCAAACTGGGGCGTCCAGCAGCTGTCCCAGGGCCGCCCAGGGCGTGGTTTGCCCAGGCTGCGTCCTGTGGATGGGGGTCTGGCCCCTCCATATTGCAGGTCCCCTGGTGCTGCCCACACTCGAATCCTGGTGGGGGGCAGGGACCTGCTGAGGGGCAGCCCCAGGTCAGAGGTGGAGCGGGGATGCGGCCTCCTCAGGCCATTGCCCTGCACAGCCGGGCGCAGCCGAGGTGTGAGGCACCCTCGGGTCTCCAAGGCGGTGCTGGCTGGGCTCGCTGTGGGGAGGGAGGCTCTGGTGGTGCCTTCCCTTCCACCCACTGTCCTCCACGCGGGCCCCAGCTCTCAGCCCACAGCTGGCGGGCGGTGCCACACAGGCCGTCCTGCGGTCCTGTGCCCTCTGTGGTGTGCCCTCCGCCTGCCATAGGCCAGGAGTGGTCTCCACGGCCGTAGTCTGGAGCAGCTCTTTCCCACCTCGTGCTCTTGGACCGGGGCCTGCCCCATCCCTAAGCGTGTCAGAACCACCTGTCTTCCCAAGGCCCTGCGGAGATGCGAGAGCAGTACCCTCCTGTGCGAAGCCGGCCCATCCGGCCACAGCCACGGACTTCAGACCGCTCTGGAAGACACGGGCTGAGAGCCACGTGGGCCTTCCCGCACCGACGGAAGGGTGCTTCCCCCACCTTGCCGCAGTCCCCAGGGAGCTCGGGGTGCCCCGGTGCACCTGAGGACGTTGTGTGCAGGGCACACCCTCCACGCGTGTCCCCCAGTGTATGTCCGTGGCCCTTTATCCTCCTGTAGGGCTTTCGCACCTTTCTGTAGGTTGATTTCAGAGCGGTCAGAGCCGGCGGACTGCGAAGGCACCTCCTTTCCCCTGCTGCGGGGCGCACTCTGCTCACACCTCCTGTCAGCAGTGCCTCTCCCATGTGCTAATTTTCGAGTTTTCCTTCTCATTTACAGTCTCTCCACTCCTGCGTTGCGATCTCTCAGCTGTTTCCCACCAATCTGGCGGTGTCGCGAAAGGGAAGGAGCCCTAAGTGTGTGCATGAGGTCTGGTCTGTCCTGTCCTGTTCTCCCAACGGACCAGCACTGGGCCTGGACCAATCACAGGACAGCTGCAGGCTGGCAGGCCCAGAAGCGATGTCACCAGTCTTCCCTCTGGCCCACGTGCGGTGGCCACGTACTGACTTCCCAAGTCCCTGTCCCGGCTGGGAAGGGGTGAGGTTCAGGGGAAGGCCTTGCCACGCCATAGCACAGTCAGCTCATGGCTCGGGAGCAGGGAGCACACACAGGAGAGGAGCCCACGGTGCCCTCCTCGGAGTGACCCTTGGGAGGCCTGCCCGGTGTCCCAGGGTCCCGGCTCATCTGGGCTGGGCCTCGAAGGCAGGTGCCGTCCTATGCTGTGGCCCCATGGCCGTGGTTCTGATGTGGCCCTTCTCTTGTGGTGGTGGCCTTCAATGCGTGCCTCACAGCCTCCGAGGGCCATGACAGGCCAGGGCCTAGCAGTCCCACCGGCGCCCTGCTGTCTCCTCCAAAGGCGCCAACCTGGGCACAAGGGCACAGCCAGGTCCCAGGCACGGGACCCACTCCCCCAGCAACCCCACCGCTGCTGCAGGTATGGCTGGCTGTGCGTGCCTGTCTCTGGGTGGTGACCCCTCGTGCTGGGGACCTGGAGCCCTGGAGCTAGGCCACTGTAGGCCTGTTGGCCCGGGCCGCCAGCCTGCACTGCTGGCCCGAGCTGTACGGCTGCCTTCTGCCTTGGCCTGGGCAGGGCCAGCAAAGCCGATGCCTGGCGGGGTGTGTCCTACAGCCAGAGCCCAGATGCCCCGGCCATGCGTGCAGCAGCCAGGAAATGCGGACAGTGAGTGGGCGGGGCCCACCTGCCCTGGGAGCCCGGGCCGTGGCAGGGGCAAGTGCTGCCCTCGCGCAGTCCTGGGGTGGGGCACGGTGCCAGCAGTGACGGTGGGGCGCTGGTCATGGTGCCCGTGCAGGGACTTCTCTGAGCTGGAAGTGATGGAGCCCCGACCAGGACCCAGAGCCTGGCCTCGGTGGTGTGCCCAGCAGAAGTGGCCTGGAGTCCGCAGCGGCAGGGGCCTGGCAGGCCTCCTGTGTCCGGGCCACATCCCCTCCACTTCCCTCATCACGCAGCTGCCAGCTCACCGGGAAGGCCCGTCGAGTCTTCTGTGCACAGCGGCGCTGCTGGTTCTCAAACCTCAGGAGCGTCTCGCCCGCAGGGCCTTCTGCCCCATCCTCTCTGAGGCACGGTCCCACACGTCAGGCTCAGGGTCTGCCCCGTGGGCCCTGATGGCTGTCTGGCCGGTCCCCGTCAGTGAGCCCTGTACCCTGAGTCATGACGTGAAGCTAGGAGGGGAGGCCCCTTGGGCCCTGCACGTCTGCCCTGGGCTGGCAGAGACGGGCCTCCTGGGCGTGCCTTTCACAGGTGGGCCTGGTGCTGTGGGCTGCTGCAGCTCTGTACATGTTGGCCCTGCCCGGAGGGCTCTGCTCCCACATGGTCGCCGGCCCTGCCCGGTGGGCTCTCCATCCGTGTCCTCGCCGGCCCGGTGGCCTCTCTGTCCGCGTCCTCGCTCGCC